GTTTTGAGGAATGTCATTCCATGCTTTAGTATAAACATAGAAGAAAGACCTCTGGCCGTAACAGTTTTTAAAAGTTGGTAATATCAGTTGTCCTTTTGTACCAGATCTAGTTGAATGACCACTTACAGAATTTGATTTGGGCAGCAATGCACAGAGTTCCTTAATTGGCACCTTGGAAGATCTGAAAATATAAATTAATACCACTATACAAAACATAATTCTGAAAAGTTAAGGCATCAGACAATGAAAGAACTGTACTGTGATGAGTCCAACCAGGATGTTTTTTTTATGTATTTTATAGGCCTTGTTGTAGAGCCTAACAATGGGTTCTAAGATTTCATTTGTTGRAAGAGACCAAACAGGTAAACAGTACGACATGGTTGAGAGTATAATGGCATGAGGATAGATATTTGAAACAGAAGATGTCAGATTGAATCTAATTTTTGAATAAATGTATAATTTCTGTTTCAACTTAGTGGTTAAGACTTGTACATGATCACGATAAGTCAAATGAGAATCCAAAGTAATTCCAAGATATTTGTAGGTAGTGACAATATCAAGGGGTTTGTTTAAAAAAGTGAGTTGATTTGTTATATTGAAATGCCTCRTGGGTGAGGAAAAATACATGCACACAGTTTTTTAACATTAATTGACAAAAGATTATCTTGAAGCCAACCATGAAATGTCTGAAGATCTGCTTGTAACTGACTATTAATAGATTCAATATTGAAATCTGACACAAAAAAAGAACAGTTTCATCAGCCTACATTAAAATATTTGAATACTTCAATATTTTTGGAAGGTCATTTATGTATAATAGGAAATGCAATGGGCCCAGTATGCTACCCTGCGGAACTCCCACGGAACAGGGCAGAGACCCGGACACAGAGCTTCCATGTTTCACAACCTGACACCTATCAGTCAAATAAGAGGAAAACATTTGTATTGCAGATGATGAAATTTGAAAAAAAAAATCAACTTTTGCAAGAGAGTAAAATGATCAACTGTGTCAAATGCTTTGCGAAAATCAATGTATACAGCACCAGTTACTTGACCTTTGTTCAAAGCAGCACATATTTGTTCAGTGAATAAAATTAATGCAGACCTTGATGTGCGGAAACAATGTTAGCTATTGCTTAGCATATTATTAGCTTCTAGATGCTGAAGTAGTTGATTAAATAATGTTTTTTCAAGTAACTTAGAAAAAATAGGAYYAACAGAAATTGGCCGATAGTTTGAAACTTCTGTTGGATCACCAGATTTAAAAATGGGAGTAATCTGAGCAAACCTCCAGGCATCAGGGAAAATACGTAGACTGTACAATACATAAATTAAACAAATGATGAAACAATGGTAAAAAAGTGTTGGCATGCATTTTCAAGAAATCCATATTTATCTTATATTTGTCAAATGCATGTGAGCCATTTAGAGATTGGAGTGTATTCAAAACTTCACTCTGTGAAATTTCAGAAAATGAAAATTGCTTTGAGGTGTCAGGATATTTAAATAACTTTAAACTATTAGCTTGTCCCGGTAATGATGTCCTTACTGAAGAAATAAAATATTCATTAAATAAGTTAGCAATTTTGTCATGATCAGAAAGTCCATTTACTGAGAAATGTGAATTGTTATTAAATGTTTTATTGMTACTTTCACCTGTCACTGACTTAATCGTTTCCCATAATATTTTTGGATTCTTACTGGCTGAAATAATTWGATTTTTAAAATATTGTTGTTTGGCTTTGCGTAATTCAGCAACACATTTATTTCGGTAACTGTTTAAACGAGACAGATTTTCAGAAGTTTTTGATATTCTATAAGTTTTCATTGAAGAAGCTTTCAACTTTAGGAGATGTATTATAGAGGCATTCAACCATGGAATTTTATTTTTCTGGACTGGAACTTTACAAGTTGAAATATATTTTCCTGTATTTTCTCCAACTTATCATAAAAATTTGAAAAAATGCGATTTGGATTTGACAGAGGAATACCCTCATTCCTGTTAGTATTCTCAATCTCAGCATGAAACATGGGTAACTTTGATTTTGGAATCCTTTTAATGAAATTATGCACATGACCTGTAGGTTTCTTAAGGTTTTTTCTAATGACATAAATAAGCGAATGATCCGAGATTGAAGTATTTACTGTATAACTCCAGATATGCCATACATGGAGGATCAATTTGTGAAAATAAGATCCAAAATGGAATTGCATGTCTTGCCAAACCTTGTTGGTACTTTAATTAACTGTTGAAGCCCTAAGTTTATAGACATTGKTTTCAGGCCTTTGGAAGTTTTATCAGCCCAATTCGTATTGATATCACCAAGAATCACAAACTCTTTTGATTTTATGCCTTTTATAATGTCAGTGAGCTGCGCTAAATATTTAGTTGAATTAACACTTGGAGGTTTATACGTAACAACAACCGTTACTGAAAGGTGATTTGTAAGCTTGATTTCTAATTGCAGAGATTCAGACTCAGTTGACAATTCTATTATAGAATGTGAGTATTTCTTGTGAACATAAACTGCAACACCACCTCCAAGCCTATCAGTACGGTCTCTACGATACAATGAATAATTTTCAACTGAAAGAAACGAATTTGGTATAGCAGGAGTCACAGCACCATAACACTAACATCAACAAAAAAAAGTCACACTATGCAGGCTATACATAACACCACTGATAAACTTTCCATTGTTTCGGGGCTTCTATAAATATCTAAAGGTTACGCTAACAGATATGGGACATCGCAGCGTAATTAATGTGTGTTTTGTGAGGAAAGTAACTGTGTGAAGGCACGTCACACTACACTGACAAGACAGACACCCCCCCATCCTCAGTGTATCTGGAAAGGCTGGCAGTTACCCAGTCTTTTATAAGCACAGGCCATGGACTGGTTCTGAACTGGTTTCCTCACTTGGGGCTAGCCTGGGACCAAACCCTGCGTCACCTCTAATTAGGGGAGGCGCCCAGAAACGGGCATAATGAGCTGATGAATAATTAGAATTGGAGGAAATTGTGCAGCCAGGGTGGCAAATCTGGAGGGACAAGTGCTGAAAACAAGGCAAGCAGCATTAAGTCCACAGTCAGTCAAATCTGTGAAGTTGGCCAGCGGCGTTAACACTAGGGCTGTGTGAAGAGGAATAAAGCTCCAGCACTGGTGGGCAGCCAAGGCCATAGTTGGACCCCCAGGCTTGATTAAAGGAAACAAATAAGATGAGGGTGATAAATTAATCCATAAACTGCCCATGATTAATATTTATTTCTTAGTGCTTTAATGCCACAAGAATGGTATGACATGTGCAAAAGGATCCAGAGAATGACTGTGATAACAGAGAAAGATACATGAGGCAACATTTCAGAATCTCAATTAATGATTAGGAGTCCTATTTTACAGCAAGTACTGTTTTCACTTCCAACACAAATGTTGAGGCATGACTAGCCTTAGAGCAATTTGTATGAGAGCTTGAAACGTTAGCCACGCAATGTGTAAAAGCGTAATCACATCTCACACAAAAGATAATGCATGCACCTGCTGTGCATTCACAACGGGAGTTTTCAAGTTGTGAATTTGCAAAAGTGGAACGCTGAATCCTTGACGGAAAGGCGATAAAGTGAGGCGACAGTAATGATGATGGGGGTGTTAGCAAACTAGCATTTAAACGTCACAGTTTGGGTGCCCCCCCCCCCCCCCCCCCGCCGCCTTTATTATGCACAGGGTCAAGGCTGGCGTGAGAGGGGGCG